GCCGGGAGCCGATGTACAATTTTGTGGTGGCCATCTATGCTGAAACGCATTCAGTCTTAGCTCCACAAGGCCATCTAGAAACAGCGAGGAACCAACCCCTGCCGTGTCGGTCCCGCCCCCTGGGTGCATGCTGGGGAGGGGTCACCCTTTGTGAGGAAGGAAGAAATGGACCATGCCTTGGTGTTTGCCCCGGTCCCACCCCCTTCTGCCAGAGACCCCCAGATCTGTCCCACTCCTGCCCAGGCCCCCACAGGCACTCTTGACACGAACAACGTAGAGCTGGCCATGCCCACCCAGTAGGCCACACCCACTCCATCCATGCCCACCCAGTAGACCACACCCACCCTGGCCGCACCCATCTGCCCCCCCCCCCGAGGGCAACCGCAATGCTGATGCGGCCCTCAATGAAATTGAGTTTGATATCCCTGATCTAAGTCCAGAATGGAGTTGAGTGGAGTGGAATGGGGAGGGGAGGGGAGGGGAGTGGAGTGGAGTAGAGTAGAGTAGAGTAGAGTAGAGTAGAGTAGAGTAGAGTAGAGTAGAGTAGAGTAGAGTAGAGTAGAATATAGAAAAGGAATAGAATAGAATAGAATAGAATAGAAAAGGAATAGAAAAGGAATAGAAAAGGAATAGAAATAGGAATAGAATAGAATAAGAATAGAATAGAATAGAAAAGGAATAGAAAAGGAATAAGAATAGAATAGAATAGAATAGAAATAGAAAAGGAATAGAAATAGAAAAGGAATAGAAAAGGAATAGAAAAGGAATAGGAATAGGAATAGAATAGAATAGAAAATATAGAATGGAATAGGAATGGAATGGAATAGTAGAATAGAATAGAATAGAATAGAATAGAAAAGGAATAGAAAAGGAATAGAAATAGGAATAGAAATAGAAATAGAAAAGTAATAGAAAAGGAATAGAAAAGGAATAGGAATAGGAATAGGAATAGAATAGAATAGAATAGAATAGAATAGAATAGAATAGAATAGAATAGAATAGAATAGAATCTCTGGTGGACCAGCATCCTTGATAACAAGTTAATTTGGACTTTCTCCCATGTCCATATGTTAATATGGCCAGCCACAAGCATAACAGAAGGACATGGCTATGGCGACACCATCAAGGATGTTCTTGGGAAGAGAGAAGCTAACTTAGTTTGATGGGAACCTCCGTCCCTTTCTTTGTCTCAGATTCCCAGCCTGTGGTCCACGTCATTGCTTCCCGAAGCCAGGATTGGTCAGAACACGAAATCGCTGTGGATTCCAGTCCCACCATCATCTATCAAGATGTCTCGGGCGAATCTCACTCGGCAACGTCAACCATTAAAGCCTTGTTGGAACTCCAGCAGACAACAGGTGGATATCTAAAACCTTTAGTTTTTCCCCCAGTCGCTTTGCGGAAACTCTTTGGAACCTGTCCTTTCTGTGTTATTTCAAGAGCAGAAAGTTCTCAGGAGGACCTGGTTGGATTCACCTTGCAACTTCCCATCATTTTCTTGTTAGGTTTATCAGGAGAGCCCGTCAGCTTCAGTGTTAACTCTAGAACGTTGGGCAGATGCCTTCAAGTAATCATGGGAACGTTGGCAGGACAAGGAGATAACCCTCCAGTTTTGAGTAACGTCAAAGCATTGACTTGGACCCTAGAGGCCAAAGACTGGACTAAGATGAGCTTCAACAGGGCTAGTCTTATATCCCCAGTATCCCAAACCTACCAGGCAATCATCTAGTGCAGGACTTTTCAACCAATGGTACGGGTACCACCTGTGGTACATTGGCACCTGGCAGGTGGTACGTGACCATCCTAGAAAAGTGGTAGTGGGGGGGGGGGAATGAGCTGAAATGGTGGCAGCACCGCACAAGCCTGAGTGAGAGACGGCTGGAGCTGCAGGGCTGTCAGGGCTCAGCGGAAGCGCCAGGATCAGCGCCAGTCTCCAGCTGGAGTTCAGCACTGATCCTGGTGCTTCTGCTGAGCCCAGAAGAAGCGCCGATCAGCTGGAATGTTGCAGCATCTCCAGGGTCTTGTGATTTACACTCAGATGCTTGCCGACTGATTCGTATTTATGACGGTCACAGTGTCCCAGGGCCATGTGAAGTGACCAAAACCTGCTGCAACCACCCAGCAGACGGGGGGAATAAAAACCAAACACCCCCCCACCCCACCCCCGCTGCCAATCCTCAACAGAAATGCTCACAACAATGGAAGCCCTGCTTGAAACAAACCAAGACAGGCGTGTCCGTAGGGCGTGGGCCAAAATAATCAAGATGGCAGACCACAACGATACAGTTGGTGCTCCGCCCGTTTTTTTTTTTAGCTGCGCCGTAGCTGCCATCTTGACTTTGTGGAACACACCTTGCAGACAACCCTGTAGGCAATCAGCCCCCACCCCTCCCGCCCCCACCCCAGGCCTGTTGCTTCATCATCCCTTTTGCTTTTTGCCGCGACAGTCAAAGAGAAGTTGGAAACCAAGCCCCGGCAGGCCACCATCGACTTGAGCCAAATGGCCGTCCCCATCCAGATGACCCATGAGAAGCAGCATTCTCCCGACAGCCCCTCCATTGCCGTGGTGGAATCAGAGCTTGTGGCAGAATACATCACCACGGGTGAGTCCCTGCCGTGAGGTGCGTGTCATGTGTCTGATTAACGAAACACTTAAAAGAACTTTCAGGCATTTTTTTTTAACCTAAAAGCCTTTATTAAGGTTACAGAGATGTCAGTACGGCATGGTGGAAATGCTAAGATCTGATCTTCTCTTCCGTTGCACATAACATTCCAGGCATTTTTCCCTCCCCTATTTTGGGGTCATGATTCACATCTTCCAATTAACTTGGAAGATGTGATTCACTTCCGGTTCCTTTTTCCCCCAGGGCTTTCCTTATATTCTCCTCCCCTTTCCCTGTTGCCTGATTTAACTATAAAAATACCAGACAGTTCTGCATATTGTCAAAAGCAAGAATATACAGTATTTGCAGCGTTGACCGTGCGTGGGCGAGAGTGAAGAATGAGGAATGAAATAGGGGAGGATTTTATAAAAACAGGGTTGGCGGAAGGCAAAGGGAATAAATCTACTCAGGAATAGGTTTTGGCGGGGATAAGGGCACAATTGAAATACATTGTACATTGTTAGTTGTTATATGAGAAGAAATATAGGTAATAAAAATGATCCCCAGGGGGTGGATGGCCTGTAATATTTGTATTTTTTTAATTATTGTTTTGTATTGAGATTTATATGTGTTATGTTTGTATTATTTGTATTTGAATACAATTTAAAAAAAAAAGAGAGGGAGAGATAGAAGGCCCTCGCCGGGTTGTTTCTACGTAGTTTGCATGCAGGGAAGAAAGAAAGAGATTTACTAAGTATTTGCCCCTTTGGCTCCTGGTCCCAGAATCGCAGAGATTGGAGATGGGATGGAGAATAAAAAAATAAAGAATAAAGCTTTCTGAAGGGTTAAGGCAGGGGTAAGGCAACCTTGGCTCTTTTATGACTTATGGACTTCAACTCCCAGAATTCCTGAGCCAGCATGGGGGAACTATGGCCCCTTCATGACTGTGGACTTCAACTCCCAGAATTCCTCAGCCAGCATGGGGGAAACTTTGGCCCCTTCATGACTTGTGGACTTCAACTCCCAGAATTCCTGAGCCAGCATGGGGGAACTATGGCCCCTTCATGACTCGCGGACTTCCACTCCCAGAATTCCTGAGCCAGCATGGGGGAACTATGGCCCCTTCATGACTGTGGACTTCAACTCCCAGAATTCCTCAGCGAGCATGGGGGAAACTTTGGCCCCTTCATGACTTGCAGACTTCAACTCCCAGAATTCCTCAGCCAGCATGGGGGAACTATGGCCCCTTCATGACTCATGGATTTCAACTCCCAGAATTCCTGAGCCAGCATGGGGGAACTATGGCCCCTTCATGACTCATGGACTTCAACTCCCAGAATTCCTCAGCCAACATGGCTCAGCTTGGAAACCTCTCCCTTTCCCCTCAGCATGGCTGGCTCAGGAATTCTGGGAGCTGAAGTCCACAAGTCATAGAAGAGCCAAGGTTGCCTACTCCTGGGTTAAGGGAAGAGCGCCCTTTTTCTAGACTTCGATAAGCTATTGTATCAAAAAGCTTTGACTTTCAGACCCACCAAACCATCAGGAGGGGTCCGGTAGCCCCTTCATTAAACAAACAAACAAACTGAAAACAATTTGGAGGTATACGACAAATAATCCCTTCATTAAATAAACAAACAAAATAATTTCACGGTATATACTACAAATATATGCATGTTCCATTAAAATACGTGTACTGTACCCGATTTGAATACGGAGATGAATTTCAGTTTAACTCATTTTTTTTTCATATGCCTATTAGCAAATCCACTGTGAGATCATGACAGAGTTGGACATTCATGTCTTCATGATGGATTCTTAAGAGAGGCTCCATGTTTGCGGGGACAGTCTTGGTGGGGGGAAAAGTTAATTTTCCAGCTTTGCCCTTAGGACGACGACGCTGACCAGCGGGAGTTAGGTCAATTCAGTTAACTAGGTTTTTTTTGCCTTTGCCTGTTTCCTGATGACCTAGTGATGATAGATATCAGCCAGCCAGCAGCAGCTCCATTTTTTAAAGTCTCATCCCTCTGGCATGAGGTCAAAGTCATATTCTTTTCCATCTTCTTTGAATCTCTACAGACAATTCAAACCAAGGGATGGGAGCAAATGGATGGATTTACTATACAGCAGCCAGGTGACCCTGATTCGGGTTGAGAGTTGCAATGCTTGCTTCCTCTCTTAACTCTAATCCTTTTGTCAATCTGCAGACTCTGGAAGGATTCACTGTGTTCCTTCGCATTCAGAGGAATATCTTCAGAACCACATTGGTTAGATATTTTATTTTTATGGTACAGACAAGAGGGACTAAGGGGATGTGGGGGGTTGGGTTGGATTGAATTGAATTGGGATGGGTTGACTTAAGTTGGATTGGATTGGGTTCAGTTGGTTGGGTTGAATTGGGATGGATTGAATTGAATCGGGTTGGGTTGGGATGGGTTAATTGGGTTGGGTTGGATTGAGTTGAGATGGGTTGGGATGGGTTACGTTGGGTTGGGATGTGATGTGGTTGAGTTGACTTGGGTTGGCTTGGGTTGGATGGGATTGAGTTGGGTTGGGATGGGTTACGTTAGGTTGGGTAGGGTTGAGATGGGATAGTTGAGTTGACTTGGGTGGGGATGGGTTAAGTTAGGTTGGGATGGGATGGGATGGTTGAGTTGACTTGGATGGACTTGGGTTGGATTGAGTTGGGTTGAGATGGGATATGTTAGGTTGGGTTGGGTTGGGATGGTTGAGTTGACTTGGGTGGACTTGGGTTGAGTTGGATTGGGTTGGGATGTGTTAAGTTAGGTTGGGTTGGGCTGGTTGAGTTGAATTGGGTTGGATTGGATTGGATTGAGTTGGGTTAGGATGAGTTAAGTTAGGTTGGATTAGGTGGGTTGGATTGGATTGGGTTGGGTTGGTTGAGTTGACTTGGATGGACTTGGGTTGGATTGAGTTGGGTTGAGATGGGATACGTTAGGTTGGGTTGGGTTGGGATGGGATGGTTGAGTTGACTTGGGTGGACTTGGGTTGAGTTGGATTGGGTTGGGATGTGTTAAGTTAGGTTGGGTTGGGCTGGTTGAGTTGAATTGGGTTGGATTGGATTGAATTGAGTTGGGTTAGGATGAGTTAAGTTAGGTTGGATTAGGTGGGTTGGATTGGATTGGGTTGGGTTGGTTGAGTTGACTTGAGTTGGGTTGGCAAAAATGCTGATATTGGCAACTCTAGGAGGCAGGCTCACTCATGCATTGTCTGAAGGATCTCAGTGATAGCGTTGTCTGTTGCTTCCAACAGTTGCCACTGACACTTGGGAGAATTTTATGATAACCAGAAAGTTGCAGTCATTTTTTCCCCTTCTGTGCCAGGATGGATAACATGGCTTGAAATTGGCCCGATATAATGAACTATAAGAGAGCCAGGTTGGTCTTGTGCCTTAATCAAGACACCAATTGGTTCTCTTACAGTATATTATACTGTCTTACTTAAACACACAAACACACATACTGTCCCTTTCATCCACACTGTCTTTGATTCATAGCCATCCAGTTAAGCAGGTAACTTTATGGCTGCAGGTTTCAACCTTGACCACTTGAAGATGAGTGGACTTCAACTCCCAGACATCCCCAGACAGCATGAATTCTGGGAGTTGAAGTCCACCCACCTCAGTGTGGTCAAGGTTGAGAAACACTGCTTGAGGGTGTCCCTTGGTGAGTGACCTCTGACGGCCTTTTCCTTCTATCCTTCCAGTGACCCACCGGTCCCAGTCCCACCAACCCTCCTCCGAGGCCCAGCGGACCTTGCTTCAACATGTAGCCCAATCCCAGACGGCGACACAGACCTCGGTCGTGGTGAAGTCCATCCCCACCTCTTCTGCAGGCGCCATCACGCACTTCATGCAGCAGGTGGGCTCTGCTCTATGGCGGGGTGACCGGCTTGCGAGCCTTGGGCTGAGTCCACTCTGTGGGGAGCTTCATGAAATTGGAAAGTGATTGTTAGTCAACGGGGACACGGATGTCCAGCTTATTTTTCACATGGGTCTGGCCACATAGTACCACCTTCTCTGAGCAGGTAGTCCTCAACGTACAACCACAGTTGAGCCCAACAATTTTGTTGCTGAGCGAGACACTTGCAGAGAATAGACTCACTCCCTTCTAGCATTGATGATGTTAGCTAGTAGGGTGATGAAATGTCTGCAAAAAAAGCAATCAAGCTCAGAGAGCACCAAGGATCCCACAGTCCTCCTCCTCCTCCTCCTCCATCTCCATCCTCCTCCATCTCCCTCCTCCATCCCACAAACCCCACTCCCTTCTAGCACTGATGATGTTACCTAGTTGGGTGATGAAACGTCTGCAAGAAAACAACCAAACTCAGAGCACCAAGGATCCCACACTCCTCCTCCTCCTCCATCTCCATCCTCCTCCATCTCCCTCCTCCTCCTCCTTCCTCCATCCCAAAAACCCCACTCCCTTCTAGCACTGATGATGTTATCTAGTTGGGTGATGAAACGTCTGCAAGAAAGCAACCCATCTCAGAGAACATCAAGGTCGCCACAGTTCTCCTCCTCCATCCTCCATCCCACAGACCCCACTCCCTTCTAGCACTGATGATGTTACCTAGTTGGGTGATGAAACGTCTGTAAGAAGGCAACCAAGCTCAGAGAGCATCAAGGACCCCACAGTTCTTCTTCTCCTCCTCCTCCTCCTCCTCCTCCTCCTCCTCCTCCTCCTCCATCATCCTCCATCCCACAAACCCCCTTCCCTTCTAGCACTGATGACGTTACCTAGTCAGGTCACGAAACGTCCGTAAGAAAACAACCCCGCTCAGAGAGCACCAAGGATCTCTCAAACAGATCTCCTTTCTTTTATGAGGTTCGGGCAAGGGGTTCCCCACCTAAACCTTCCATTATATTCATTCGTTCCCCTCCCCACCCCCCAGCAGTGGGGTCGTGGGGCATGCTGGCGAAAGATGATGCGGGTGGTACCTGAGCCCCTTCTAGGGGACACCCCCCCCCCCAGGATGGTTCGGAGCCTTCCTTTGATGGGTGCCTTCTCCCTTGCAGGCCTTGAGCAGCCACACGGCTTTCACCAAGCACAGCGAGCAGCTGGTCGCCGAGGAGGGGGAGGTGGAGGACACCCTGGACCCCCAGACGGGACTCTTCTACCGGTCGGCCCTGACCCACGTGCAGAAGCAGCAGAGGTTCAGCCAGCCCCAGCTGGAGCAGACCCAACTCCAGGTCAAGACCTTGCAGTCCTTCCAGGCCAAGCAGAAGCAGACCATCCACCTGCAAACGGAGCAGCTGGCCGCCAAGCTGCCCCAGCTGCCCCAGCTCTCCATCCGGCACCAGAAGCTAGTGCCTCTCCAGCAGGATTTGGCCTCCGCCAAGCTGGACTCCCAGCAGGCCGGCCCCCGCGAGCGGCAACTGCCCACCTTGGTCGCCCAGCCCCAACAGACGGTGGTTCAGGTGCTGGCGGTCAAGACCGCCCAGCAGCTGCCCAAGCTTCAGCAGGCCCCCACGGCCCAGAAGATCTACGTCCAGCCCCAGAGCCAGCTGCAGCTCTCTGGAGCGCCCGAGAAGCAGCCCACGGGCCAGGTGAGAGACAGCAGAGGGCAGGCAGGGGGACGGGGGCCCAGCCCAGGACTGGCCTGGCCCTCGAGTCCTGCCTTGGCTTCTTTGGAAGGCAACAAGGGTGTGTGTGTGTGTGTGTGTGTATGTGAAGGAGGCCAACGCTGACTACTGTTAACCCACAGCGCCTGTTCTCCAAGGCTTTTCCTTCTGGTGTGGGGTGGAATAGAACACAATAGAATATAGAATATAGAATAGAATAGAATAGAATAGAATAGAATAGAATAGAATAGAATAGAGAATAAATAGAATAGAGAATAGAATAGAATAGAATAGAATAGAATAGAATAGAATAGAATAGAATAGAATAGAATAGAGAATAAATAGAATAGAGAATAGAATAGAATAGAAAATAGAATAGAATAGAAAATAGAATAGAATAGAAAATAGAATAGAAGAGAATAGAAGAGAATAGAGTAGAATAGTATAACAACGTTGGAAGGCACCTTGGAGGTCTTCTAGTCCAGCCCCCTGCTCAAGCAGGAGATCCTATACCATTTCTGACAAATAGTTGTCCAGTCTGTTCTTAAAAACTTCCAGTGATAGAGAAGGGCAGGAGAAAGGGAGGGAGGGAGAGAGGGAAGGAAGGGAGGGAGGGAGGGCAGAATGACAGAGTTGGAAGGGGCCTTGGAGGTCTTCTAGGTTTCCTTCCTCAGGCTGGAAACCCTATTCCATTTCGGACAAATGGCTGTCCAGTCTCTTCTTAAAAACCTCCAGTGTTGGAGCATTCACCGCTTCTGGAGGCAGGTAGTTCCACTGGTTAATTGTTCTGACTGTCAGGAAGTTTCTCCTTAGTTCTAGGTTGCGTCTCTCCTTGATGAGTTTCCACCCGTTGCTTCTTGTCCTGCCTTCAGGCGCTTTGGAGAATAGCTTGACCCCCCCTCCTCCTTAATTTACCCCGCCTGTGACTATGTGCAATCCCTCTTTCATGTTTCAGGTGCACCAGCCCATAATCACCCAAGGATCTTCTGTTACCAAGATCACCTTCGAAGGGCATCAGCCCCCCACGGTCTCCAAGGTGACCCCTCCCCTCCCGCCCCTCTTCCCCAGCCAGGTGGCTTCCAAGTCAGCGATGGCGGACATTTTGAAGATGTCCATGATGGAGGCCCAGATCGAGCCCAGCGCCGGAGGAGACGCGGCGGCGCACAAGACCTGCCCTCCGGCCCACCCTCCCGGCGTGGCCGAAGCGACCCCCCTCTCCGTGCTGAAGGCAGCCCCGGGAGGGGCGCCCACCCTGGGAGCGGCGTCCGTGTTGCAGCAGGTGAAAACCTTGGACTCGCACTCGGGCCCTCTCGGCACGGGGCTGCCTCTGCAGGAGAGGAAGCCGAACCCCCCAGCTCCCGCCAGCCAGTTCATCCGCATCCAGAACGTTGGTCCCCCAAAAGCCGAGGAATTGGCGGCCGAAATCCTGATCCAGGTAAGGCAGGACCACGAGGCTACCTTTGGCTACCGAGCGTTCAGCCGATCGGATGCTCTTTTCGTTTGTTTTTTTATTTTAATTTTGTTTTATTTATGTGCACATATCCCGCCTGTATTATTTTGACAAATAGCTCAAGGTGGCAGACGTAGACCGTACCCCATCCTGTAAGTTTGGGTTGGGCTGAGAGAGAGGGATTGGTCCAAAGTCGTGGACCCACCCCGTGGTCGCGTGATCCAAATTCAGACGCTGGGCAACTGACTCACATTTATGACGGTCGCAGCGTCCCCGGGGTCACGTAATCCCCTTTTGCGACCTTTCTGACAAGCTAAGTCAATGGGGGAAGCCAGGTTCCCATAACAAGCTTATTACTAACTTCACAACCGCAGTGATTCACTTAACAACCATAGGAAGGTCGCAAAAACGGGGCAAAATTCACTTAACAACTGTCTCACTTAGCCACAGAAATTTTTTGCTTCAGTTGTGGTCGTATGTTGAGGACTGCCTGTATTCCCCTCTATCAAAATTCCTAGTCCCCTCAGTTGTTCATTGTACGGTTTAGCTGATGGAATGGAATGGATAAGGAATAGAATGGAACGGAATAGAACAGAAAATATGGAATAGAAAACATGGAATGGAATGGAATAAATATAATAGAAGGATAGGATAGGATAGGATAGGATAGGATAGGATAGGATAGGATAGGATAGGATAGGATAGAAAATATGGAATGGAATAAGAATAGAAAGAGAAGAGGAAGAGAATATATAGAAAATAGAATAAGAATAGAGTAGAGTAGAATAGAATATAAAATAAAATAGAACAGAAAATATATAGAATAGAATGGAAAATAGAATAGAATAGAAAATATAGAGAATAGACTAGAATAGAATAGAATAGAATATATGAGGATGGTGATGGGAATAGAATAGACTAGAATAGATGAATAGAATAGAATAGAATAGAATAGAATAGAATAGAATAGAATAGAATAGAATAGAATGGAATAGAATGGAATAGAATAGCATAGAACAGAACAGAACAGAACAGAATAGAATAGAAGCTGGAAGGGACCTTGGAGGTCATCTAGTCCAACCCCCTGCTCAGGCAGGAAACCCTATACCATTCCAGACAAACGGCTGTCCAGTCTCTCCTTAAAAACTTCCAGTGTTGCATCATTCACAGCTTCTGGAGGCAGGCAGTTCCTTATCTGGAGTCTCCCTTTGCCCAAAGACCCCCTAACGCGTTTTCTCCCCTCTTCCAGACGATCCCGCAGTATTCGGTCGCCTGCCATTCCACCTCCAACGTGGTGGTCGAACCCAGCGGTCTTCTGGAGATGAACAACTTCACCAGTCAACGCCTGGACGAGGAAGATACCGTCATGGAGCAGGACATGGACAGCAGCAACGAAGACGGGACGGAGCCCAGCCCGATGCAGACTTCAGAACAGACCTAATGCATTTTGGAAACTGGTGTGTGTGTGTGCACATTTAAGGCAACCGCCGAGGGCCTCGGCCGTCGGTGTCCGGGAAGCTCTTAATATCAGTCGTAAGAAGCACTTTGCCTCTCCGAGGTCTTTGCGCAGGCTGACCGCCATCTTGTTAAAAAAAAAAAAAAAGACGACAGTATTGGCGAGACCAGGATCGCGAAACGGTTTGGGCGAGCGAGGCCTCACGTCCGGTCCGGGGAACCCCGACGACAGTGGAATGTATTTTCGTTGGACGCGAGAAAGCAAAGAGACATGCAGTGATATTTTTATTTTATTTTATTTTTATTATTATTATTTTTTTCCTCTCCATTATGGTATATTGAAGTTTCGTTTGCTACGACGTTCTGGATTTTCTATTGAAATATTGTGGCGGTTTTGGGGGGGCGGTTGTTTTGTGTGTGTGTGTTTTTTTTTAACGCCACCAAACTAACCTTCCCTACTTAACTCTCCCGAAGCCACAAAGCGGAGCCCGAGTTCGGCGTTGAACGGGTTTTCAGCACAAAAGCTGATTTTGTTTTAAAGCAGGGGTAGTCAACCTTGGCTCTTTTATGACTTGTGGACTTCAATTCCCAGAATTCCTGAGCCAACTTAGCTGGCTCAGGAATTCTGGGAGTTGAAGTCCACGAGTCATAAAAGAGCCAAGGTTGACTACCCCTGTTTTAAAAGCTAGCTGGATTCTCGTCAAATCAATCGAGGGAGCGTGCTGACCGTGCTATTTTAGGGAGCAAGTAAGAATCAGAGAAAGAAGATGCTTCTCTTTTTTTTTCCTTTCAAAGCAAATTTCCAAATATTAGCCTTTAAAACAAGCTGAAGTAAACTTCAAAACACATCGTCTCAAAACTATAGGCGCCACACGGTGACGATGCGTCTCTTCCCCTTAATTTTCACAGGTTATTTCTTTTTTTCTTTTGACAAAGCACAGATGAAACATTTCACCAAGCCCCATATTAAACCTTGCTTTTATTTATCTAGAATATTTCAATTTCCCACTCCTGGTCTTGTGTAACAGAGCCAGGACCCGTTCAGTATCTTTTTTTTTCATATTTAAGCTGTGAAACAAGAATTGGTTTAAGATTGGACATCCAAGATTAGAATTTGGGTGTGAGCGTAAATATTCAGACTCGGCTTTCTTTCTTTAAAGGCATTTTTTTAAAAAAAAGGAAAGAAAGAAAAACCACACAATTTTTCATACAATTATGCGGGAGGCTTTAAAAATGTACAGTGGTCTTTTAATAATTTTGTTTGACTCTATTGAAAGGGATCTTCCTTCAAACGAATAATTTTAGTTTGCCCAGGAAATACGTTGGGGTTTTACCGTGACTAAAAAAAAGTCCAGATTAAAAAGAAACAAGGAAAAAAACCCACCCCAAATTTTAATAATGAAGACACCGCTTTTATACATGCGTGTGTGTATGTGTGTTTGTTTGTTTGTGTGCGAGAGAGAGAGAGAGAATGTGTATGTATATCCACACAGAGAAACTGTACATAGGAAGTTTTTAACCCTTTTGTATAGATTACATTATAAATAAGCATTTTACGATTTTGGAAGTATCTTGTATATATAACGGCCCTTCGGTTGAATTGCTGTTTTGTTTTTCGGTTCGGTTCTCGTTCGGATCGTCTTCGTTCCGTTTGGGTTTTTTGTTTCGTTTCCCCCCCGGTGCTGATAGTACTACTTTTAAGTAGGTGCCCCTCGAAAGCTCTAAGACGATTTTGTGTCGATATTTTTATATTGTGATTTTAGTGTTTTGTATAATTAAACCACCCAGTAGACAGAATTGGCCACTGGCTGAAGTTTTGAAACCCAAAACAAAAGTCTGTTGGAGTGTCATGTCTTGGTTCTCACTCTAGAGGGCGCCCTCGGATGGGCTTCGCCACCCGACTCTCTCTGATATTAATTCTGATATATAAAGCCTTGCAGAATATATATATATTTTCCTTTGAAAGTGAGCGTTTGAAGCCCCAGAGATGATTCAGTGGCTTTTACAGATCACCAAGGTGACCTTTACAAGGCCTTGCTAAGGCCACACTTGGAATGCGGCATCCAGTTTTGGTCACCACGATGTAAAAAAGAGGTTGAGACTCTAGAAAGAGTACAGAGAAGAGCAACAAAGATAATTAGGGGGCTGGAGGCTAAAATATTATAAGGAATGGTTGCTGGAATTGGGTATGTATAGTTTAATGAAGAGAAGGACGAGGGGGGACATGATAGCAGTCTTCCAGTATCTCAGGGGCTGCCCCAAAGAAGAGGGAGTCAAGCTATTCTCCAAAGCGCCTGAAGGCAGGACAAGAAGCAACGGATGGAAACTCATCAAGGAGAGAAGCTACCTAGAACTAAGGAGAAACTTCCTGACAGTTAGAACAATTAACCAGGGGAACCACCTGCCTCCAGAAGCGGTGAATGCTCCAACACTGGAAGTTTTTAAGAAGAGACGGGACAGCCATTTGTCTGAAATGGTATAGGGTTTCCTGCCTGAGCAGGGGGTTGGACTAGATGACCTCCAAGGTCCCTTCCAACATTATTATTATTATCATCATCATCACCACCACCATCATCATCATCTCCTTGGTTAGTTTCCATCCGTTGCTTCTTCTCCTGCCTTCAGGGGCTTTGGAGAAGAGCTTGACTCCCTCTTCTTTGGGGCAGCCCCTGAGATATTGGAACACTGGTATCATGTCCCCCCTCGTCCTTCTCTTCATTAAATGGTTGTCCAATCTCTTCTTAAGAACCTCCGGTGATGGAGCACCCACAACTTCTGGAGGCAAGCAGTTCCACTGGTTAATTGTTCTCACTGACAAGAAATTTCTCCTTATTTCTAGGTTGCTTCTCTCCTTGATTAGTTTCCATCCGCTGCTTCTTGTCCTACCTCTGGGTGCTTTGGAGGATAAGTTGACCCCCTCTTCTCTGTGGCAGCCCCCTTAGATGTTGGGGAGACTGCTATGATGTCTCCCCTCAATCTTCTCTTCATCATAAGTTCATGCGATTTAGCCTCCAGTCTTTTCATCTTCTTTTTGTGGTTCTTAATCAGAGACCCATCGGATGCTGTAATCTGGATCCACAAAGCTGTCCCTTCTTCTGTTGTGTGTGTTGTTGTTTTTTAATTTTTCCTGATTTGACGCTTGTGTTTTTTCCCAGGTCATTCATTCAAAATGAGAAATGTCAAAGAACCAAATCAAACCCCAGCTGTCCCTCGTTTAGTTTTTTTTTTTTTAAGCCATAATTTTAAACCATAATTTCAAAGAGGACTGAAGTCTCGTACAACCAAGAGTTGGAACGACCAGCCAAGCCCCAGATCATCAAAGGGGAGGCAGATGAAAGATCTGTTAAGTTTTTGGAACTGCCTGCCTCCAGAAGCTGCGAATGCTCCAACGCTGGAAGTTTTGAAGAAGAGATGGGGCAGCCATTTGTCTGAAATGGTACAGGGTCTTCTGCTTGAGCAGGGGGTTGGAGTAGAAGACCTCCAAGGTCCCTTCCAATTCTGTTACACTTTGCTCCGCCTACCTCGCAGGGATGTTGCTGTGCAATTTAAAGGAAGGGGGATTTGCACACAAGCCCCCTTGGTACCTGTTGGAAGGGAGGGTCAGACGTCCTTCCAGAAGTTGTGGACTCTTCGTCCCTGGAGGTTGTTAAGAAGAGACTGGACAGCCATTTGTCTGAAATGGTGTAGGGTCTCCTGCTTGAGCAGGGGGTTGGACTAGATGACCTCCAAGGTCCCTTCCAACTCTGTTATTCTATCCTATTCTATTTTCATTCTATATTTATTCTATTCTATTCTATATTTCTCTATTCTATTCTATATTTCTCTATTTTAATTCTCTGTTCTATTCTGTTCCATTCCATATTTTCTATTCTATTCTATAATTCTGTTCTATTCTGTATTTCTATTATATTCCATTCTATTCTATTCTGTATTTCTATTCTATTCCATTCTATTCTATTTTCTTCTGTTCTATTCTATTCTGTTCCATTCCATATTTTCTATTCTATTCTGTAATTCTATTCTATTCTATTCTGTATTTCTATTCTATTCCATTTTACTCTATTCTATTCTGTATTTCTATTCTATTCTATTCTATTCTGTATTTTTATTCTATTCTTTCTTCTATTCTATTCCGTTCCATTCCATATTTTCTATTCCAGTGGTGGCGAACCTATGGCACGGGTGCCAGAGGTGGCACTCAGAGCCCTCTCTGTGGGCACACGCACCATCGCCCCAGTCCTAGGCCTTCAGCTGGGTTTTATAAAACCTTTTCGCTTTAGGCCTCCACCGCCGTGTGCAAAAAAAAAAGGTTCAATCAGTCAATTTCAACTTCTCACGGGGAAAAAAAAAGATCTTGCAAAGTTGAAATTGATTGATTAAACTTTTTAGTCCCACCCAGTCTGCCATTACCACCGCGGCCACGCCCACCCAATGGGCCACGCCCACCCGGCACTTGACGATGCATAAGTGGGTTTGGGGTTGCAGTTTGGGCACTCAGTCTCTAGAAGGTTCGCCATCACTGTTCTATTCTGTTCTGTTCTGTTCTCTATTCTATTTTGTATTCTGCATTCTATTCTCTATTTTATTTTATATTCTGCATTCTATTCTCTATTTTATATTCTGCATTCTCTTTCTTATTCTATTCTATTCTATACTATATTTCTTCTATTCTCTTCTATTCTGTTCTATTCCGTTCCATTCCATATTTTCTATTCTATTCTATTCTATTTTTCTTCTATTCTGTTCTGTTCTGTTCCATTCCATATTTTCTATTCTGCTCTGTTCTCTATTCTATTTTATATTCTGCATTCTCTTCTCTATTCTATTCTTCTATTCTATTCTTCTATTCTATTCTATTCTTCTATTCTATTCTATTCTATTCTAGCTAGTAACATGATTGTTAAGTGAACCCAGCTTCCCCATCGACTTTGCTCATCAGAATGACACAATAGTTGATCACATGACCCCTAGGGACACTGTGACCGT